CACAGGGGGACACAGCGGTCCCGTTCCCGCCGGGGAGGTTCGTGACTCCTCCAGGGGTTCTGAGGGTGAACCTCGCTGCTCTCTGTGGTTCGGGTACCGCAGATGTGTGTGTTGCCCTCGATAGACAGCACCTGCATGTCGTAGTTTTATTTCCCCTTCTGATTTCCCCTTCTTATTTCTAATCTCAGCGTTTTGTAACTCTCTCAAGAAACTCTGTGATGAAGAGAGCAGTGAGTTAGAAATGAGGCAATTGGTGGAATGATTTATCTGCATTTCAGTTTTTCTGGGCTATTTAATATTTTTGCTGCTGTCTGCAGTCCAGTTCTTCTGTGTGAGGCCAGTCTGAGCAGGTGACAAGGGGTGGAACAGCCTGGTGTCCTAAGCCTGTCCCACCTCTTGTTTCTGGGTGTTTTTGTGCTTTCTGTTTTCTTGAGCCGTCTGAGCTTCTGTTCCTGAGCAGCCACGCTTCACTTCTGGACGTGGTTGTACCAAAATCAATATTTGTCTGCTGTGGGTTTTGCATAGGCAAATGAAGGCTCCTGCTCACCCGCTGAGGCAGCACAGGGCTGTGTAAACAGGCTGGGGGAGCCCTGAGGGGAATTGCTTCCACATCTGCTGTGTCCCAGCTCCAGGATGGGGGAGATGGGGCAGCAAAATCCCCTGAACAGCCAGGAGTCCCCATGAGCCTCCTGGAATGAGGTGGGAGTGGGATAACCTTGTAATTTCACTGTTCCCTGCTTCTTTTCTCAGGGCACTGCTGCCATGCAGTTTCCCCCCTCTCCCTGGTTGTGCTGGGTGGATTTTGGAGTTATTTTTTGGCTGGCTGTGTCACTGCAGGGACAGTGTCCCACCCTTGAGGGCTGGGGATGTGTCAGGGAGAGGAAGCACTGCCAGAGCCAGGCTGTGTCAGCTCTGGGTTTATAGTGCTGAGCTGATTGTTTTGGAGTGGCTGCTGCTGCCTTGGGCTCTCTGGGAAGTTCCTGGTGAGAGCTGGGCGTTTGGAAGAGGCTCAAACCCAGCCTTTTGCCTTGAAACCAGTGCAGAGCCACCAATTTCTCTTTAAATTCAACTGGAGGGATCATGAGAAAGGTGTTTGCTTGTGCTGGGAGCAGCAGAGGCTGCACTGATTCTCTGCTGGGCTGGGGGATTTCAAACCCAAATCTTTGGGATTCCTGTGGGGGTCTTGTTCCTTTTAGGCTCCTCTCAAAGGTCTGGGGTCTGCTGGCTCAGGGTGGGATCTGAAAGCCTGGTAGGCTGATGGTCCTTCCCAAGGCTCAGCCTGAACCACTCAGGATTGTGTGTTGTGCTCAGGCTCCTCATTCTGATCGTGTTCCCGTTGTTAAATCCCTGCTGATGAGGGAGTGTGGGCAGCTCTGCTGTGTGCTGGGGTCCTGCCCCTCTGGGTGCTCTTGGGAAATGCTCTGGGTGAAACCCTGGAGTCAGGATTGTGTGGAAGCTCCTGAACCTGGAGTCAGGATTGTGTGGAATCTCCTGTACCTGGAGTACAGGATTGTGTGGAATCTCCTGAACCTGGAGTCAGGATTGTGTGGAAGCTCCTGAGCCTGGAGTACAGGATTGTGTGGAATCTCCTGTACCTGGAGTCAGGATTGTGTGGAAGCTCCTGTACCTGGAGTACAGGATTGTGTGGAATCTCCTGTACCCTGGAGTACAGGATTGTGTGGAAGCTCCTGCACCTGGAGTCAGGATTGTGTGGAAGCTCTTGGCCTTGCTGCATCACAGAGTCCTTAAAGATGGAAAAGACCTCCAAGGTCACCAAGTCCATCCTGTGCCCCATCCCCCCCTTGTCCCCATCCCACTGCACTGTCCTTCCTTGGACACCTCCAGGGATGGAGACTCCAAACCTCCCTGGGCAGCCCCTGCCCCCTCTGACCACCCTTTCCATGGAGAAATTCCTCCTGATGTCCAACCTGAGCCTGCCCTGGCACAACTTGAGGCCATTTCCTCTTGTCCTGTCCCTTGTTCCCTGGGAGCAGAGTCATCAAATCAGAATGAAAATACAAAGGCAGTACAGAAAATAGCCTAAAGCAAGGACTCAGAAACTTGGGGATCTGTTGGATGGAAAGTTTGGGATATTGGGCTCTTCTGGGATTGGCTGGGACATCTGCAGGGCATGAGAGGAGCCAGTGTCTTGTGAATCTGGTCTTGGGGACATGCTCCAGGTCCTTGGGGGGTTCATGGCAAAGCAGGAATGAATTCAGCTCCCCCACCTCCCTGTCACTGCTCCTCCTCTGGCCTGGCCTTTGCTTGTTCTCTGCCACCTTTCTGTGGTAGTGGAGAAAACAGCAGAGAGAAATAACAAACTTTTACCGAGGAGTTTGTAAGTTTGCTGGGGATACCAAAATTAGGAGGAGCTGCTGACCCCCCTGGAAGGCAGAGAGACCCCACAGAGAGTCCCTGACAAATGGGGGAGCTGAGCAA